ATCGACCTCGACTATTGAGTGTTCTTTCAAGACGATCATCAAATACTATAGTACTTTCATTGGTAGGCGTTGTTGAAGAATCGACACTGGCTAAAAAATAAAGTTTTCTAGGAGTAATTTCAATGGAGGAATACATTGCTTGATGCTGTAGTAGTGAGTGGGTTGATCGATACTGCTCTCATTTTTTGTTGCTCTGTAATGAAACAGTTGTCTTCAAGGCTTCAGAGTTGGGTATAAGTGTGGATGTGGTTGTACGTATGTGGAAGCGGACATTGATCTAATTTTCTGCGACACCGACCCTCACATCTTAAAGGTTAGGGAAATACTTGTTTTTTTTATTGTATTTATGTTCCAATTAGATAATTAACAGCCAGTCAGTTTTCAAAAAATTTAGCTCAAACTTTCCGGAAAGGTCGGTCGTATATTCTTCTACTCAGTGATAATACTAGGCGAGTAGAACCAGCTTCATCTACGGATCGGTAGATTTATAAAAACTTTTTATAGAATTAATATGGCTTTTAGAAAAAAAATCGATATTTTAACATTTATATCATATCCAAAAACAGTTTTTGAATCTCCTTGAAAAGTTTGAATTTAATCGTTTGAGAACATATTGAAACAATAATACTTTTATCGAAAGGCCAAGACAATGACAAACATACTTTTTTTGCTGATCTTTGTGCACTTTTCTCATCGCTGTTCAAGGAATTAAAGAAATATTCCTATCGTGTTTAGCATGATGAAAACGCTGCAACGTTATATGAAACCGAGATGACCCAAGTGAAAAAGCATGCTTTGAGAGACTCCCAACACGTTAATTTTAGCATCTTAGTGGAAGAATGAGGATATCTGCAGTTTATGTAGCTACATAGAGAAGACAGATGACTGCTAGATGACTTGATTTAGATCGAATATCAACTATAGCTTCTGCCATTAGCCAGTTAGTTTCTAGAAATACCTCTCTCTCGAAAAACGAATTGAAACTCATTGAGAAGTTTCGGCTCCTATCTATGGTTACATGTCATAGTCTTGGTTATAAGGGAGTGAGAATCGATCGCTCAATCTCTTTTTATTTTCAATATAATAGGCTTAACTTTTATCTACCTTTTATTTTGAATGAAGTAGCAATTCTCAATAGGATGTAAAGTCACTACTTGATATCTGATATGACTCTCGAATAATATGTGTAAAATATTCAACAAGAAGGTTTTTCGACAGTTCGTATTTCCAGTCACAAGTTTTCTCTCTTGTGCTATACATGGCTTTCATGCCGACACGTGTTTCCTTCATCTATGATCAAAACTATAATATTTCTTAGATCAATGATTTTTTCAGAGCTAATACGAGTTTTGTAGCTGAAATATTGAATGTTGTATGTAGAGACTTGACTCAATCAAATGTAGGAGGGTCCCTTAATAACATAAATATTTGCGAGAATGTAACAGGGCCTATTGCATCATATTCTGACCTGCTGTTTCGTTCAATGTTGTATTATTTAGATGTTCTCGTTCGTAATAAGAGTCATCATCTTCGTCTTCATTTT